CGTGAAGTCCTATTTTCGAAAATTTTTATTGCATTTTTGAACAAATTACAAAATTGCTATTTTTGAAATTTGGCCACATGGCGCAGAAATAGGAGGTCTTTAGACCGATCCAACCATACTACTGTTAATTATTATCATCATAATCATAATTATTATTAGTCGATCTTATGCATTAGCAAAATAATTCTTTCCTCTATTCAAAAAATTCAAGTCACTTAATATTAATTTAAAATCAAAAAATCCTTTAATGAATTTGAAACAAGAATCAATTTTATAGGTATAACATTAAAGTTATAAAATCCATACTGTTTTTTAAAAATGTTAAAATATTACTTCTAAATATCTAATTATATGCAGAATGATAATATATTTACTTATTCTGTTTGTGTTCTTATAATTAATATAGTTTCACCGATTAAATTTGGGAGAGCGTATTTTAATTGGTGATAACAATTATTTTTATTTTTGCGTGGATCAGAATGAATAGGGGATCAACGAATTGATTTTGGTTAAAGAAGATAAAAGTTTATTTAAATAAAATATTACTATTTTATTTATTTAGTTTTCTTAGTCGAAACTAATTAACCTATGACAAAGTTATTAAACTAAGACAAAGTTTTCCTTAGTCAAAACTAATTTATTAACTTACTTCTAAGTTAATTTTTATTATGAAGCTTTAAGACAAAGTTATTAAACTAAGACAAAGTTATTTTACAAGCAAGTCGAATTTGAGCTTCTTTTATACAATTAAATTAATTAATAACAACTTCATTGCAATCTAACATTCTAACCGCGACGCTAATTTCTAAACAAAGCTAACTAATTTTGATGTTATACGAATAAAAATAAAAATGTAAATAGATATGAATAAAATAAAATAAGAAATAAAATATAAGGAATAAATAAATGTAGATATAAAAAATAAAGATAAAGTAAAAATAGAAATAAAAAGATTTGGTTCGGAATTAGGGTATTTCGACTAACAATTTAGCGTTAAATCCTAATTCTGGTAACAATATGACCAAACTTTGCTGAATGGCATAGTGGCACAGCAATTCTTCCAAGCACCACAGAAAAAAATCCTTTATACCACTTTGTGTATTATTCTTTTTACATATACATTTATTTATGTATTCAAATATATATAAATGCAATTATTCTTCTAATGTCTTATAAGCAAACCTATTAGTTGTATATAATAATTAATTAAAACCAAGGGAAAAAAAATTTACACAAAAAATTTAAATAAAGGTCTATTTAAAATTATACATAGTCTATTCAGATCCCATAATATGTAACAATAGGGTTCAGAATGAATATAAAATCCAAAATCATACAAATATTAATGTGTTGATAAGAAAGGAGAGATAGTTGGCAATCCCCTCGATAAGGACGGAATTGGGGTTCAACCCTTCTATCAACACATTTAGTGTTTATTAAGGCATAGTCAATCCCTTCAGGGTGCGACATCTAAAACAATTTTTTTGTTCATATAATAAAAATTTTCAAGTTGATTTGATACCACAACAAAACTTATTATTTATGTTTCCCATTATGAATATTTCTTTGAAAAGATCTAGTTACCAAGCCTGTGCATTTAGTATTTGTTTCTTACAATTCCAATATTTTGTAATACTGCATACACTAAGCCTTTTATTAATACTTTTTTAATATTAAAAAACGTTTCAATTGTAGCAATTATTTTGCTAATATCTTTTGAGGTTCGTGTTTATTGGTAATTTGATTTTCCTGATAAATCTCATAAAGAACCCTAAATTGACAAAAAAGATCAATTCCCATCTTTTTAACTAATATTAATATAGTTAAAAAAATTGTTATCAAAAGTGGGACTTTCAAAGTTTCCAAGTTTCTAAATTTCTAAATAATTTCTTTTAAGTTATTATCAATTGTGATCACTTATGAATTTTCTTATAATAAACGAAGAGATAACTTCAATTTTAATTTATTATTGGAAGGTAATAATATTCGAAAAGATTGGCTGTTATTCCAAATTAGTTAGAGGCAATAAAGAAAGCTTGATCTTTAGCAAAGTCATAAGTAATCTTTAGATGTATGTTACCGAACTATATATTTTAAATAACATTAATATCTTGTGTATGATAATAATAAACTTGTAACTTTTTGTCTTGAATTTTTTCAATTCAAGTAAGATCAAAAATATCTAATTTAAATTACTGATTCTGATTTTGATGGATGGTGATGAAAATATGGAATTTCTACTTTTAAAGAATATTTCATCAAAAATTGTAAAAGATCAGTAAAAAGTGAAAAAAAAATGTGTTGTGTTAAACATGAATTGCCAAAATGTAATTATGATGATTGTTAACAGATTTGGGGCTAAACCCTGTTTGAGTAAATTTAGTTCTAAAATAGCATGCCTAAGAATATTTATATAACTAACGTAACATATTTTTTGAATTTGATTGGTCAAAAGCCTGCTTTTTTAGAAAGGTTCAATCTGCTTGAACTCTAAAACTGGATCTGGCAAGCAATTTAACATCCCTAGTTTCAAACCATGTGGTAAATTATTGAATAGTTATTGATCAGTTGATATTACTAACATCAATCAGATGGCATTGAATATAGTTTGTCTCTTAAAACTTCTGGTACTATATATGGTAGTCTCCAATTATATTATTTTTCATTTGAAGATGATGCTTTATCAGATGCCCTATGAAAAAAAACCGCCTGAATATATATATATGACATAAAACAGTATGAAACATATAGAATTCACCATGTGTACAAAAAGTATGGGAATCCAATACTATTACGGAAATAGTACTGAATCGGTTACAATAACCATGAGTGGTTGAGATAACCAGAGAGACAACTACTGGTTGTGAATAAAATCTTCCTTTATTAAATATTAAACAAACTATATAGTCTTTTTTACTAGACAATGGCAAATGTTAAATATTTTATTCTCTCTTTAGAAATCAATAATGAAATAATGCTCTTGGATCAAAATTCTTTACCCACTTGAACCATTTTTTTAATAGTTTGAATAATATCTTGAGGTGAATTGACATGCCATCCAGCTGAAGTTTTTTTATTTGCAGAACCAACCATTGTGCAAAAATAACTATCATCTGGTAAATGAGACTTTTTTATTGCTTTAAACATATCTTCATCTGTTCTGTCATCACCTGCACAAAATACAAAATCAACATCTGAATGATTTTCTAAAAGACGATTTACAATTTCACCCTGAAAAATTTTATTTATAATTTAATCTTTGGTTAAAAAAAGAAACAGTTATATAAAATATATATATATACCTTGTTTGTCATTGTAGGTCTAACCTCTAGATTTTTTTTACCTAATAGTATCTCAACTGGTAATTTGGGAATGATTGCACTTTCAAGATGATTTTGACATTCTTTAGCTTGGAATGCTCTACATACATTTTTAATTATTAATTATGACATTATATTATATTATATAAATGGATTGATTAATTAATTACCCATATTCAGGATCTGCTTGACGATAGTGCCAAGTAATTGAAGAACTTTTATGTTCTACAAATGATCCTTGAGTGCGTTCTTTATAATATGTGAATATCTCAAGTACATCAGTTTTCCAACTCATATCAATATCTTTCATAAGATTAATCCATTCATCACTTTCAGGACTTTTTATAAAACCACCATGCTCAGCACTTTATCAAAGCAAAAAAAAAAAATTTCAGTATGGATTAATAATAGTAAATATTTTTTGCAGGAATTACTAGGCAAACCAAATCATTCTTACCTAAATCCAATTTTTTTAATGCCACCAAGCCATTTATCTAATGCATGAGTATCGCGTCCTGAAATTATCCAAATTTTATTTTTAGGATCATCTGCAAGTTCATTTAATCCTTTTAAGGTATCAGCCCCTGGGGCTGCAGCACTTGGACTTGTAACAATAGGAGTTAAAGTACCCTAAAAATAATAAATAAATAGCTTTATTATTATTATTATAAATGTTTTTAAAAAAAAATTATTTTGAAAAAAGTTTACATCATAGTCAAATAATAATAATCTTTTTTTAGAGAGTTTGTATTTATTTAGTAAACTCTTTGTATTGAGAAATGGAACAATGCTTGATTGTTCTTGATTTTTTATTGATTCTTTAAGCTCTTCAACAAATGAATCTGCCCAAAATTGAGCAGTATGAGTAGTAACATGTTTATATAGTTGCTATTTAGGAAAATAATAATAATTTAGTATAACAACAACAACAAAAATAATAATATTCTTGAAAAAAAAAATATTATAAATTAAATTACCATATGTTTTTCTTTTTTTTCTTTGGGTGATAAGTATAATGCATCATTGATTGCCTTTGCTACACCAGTGTAATCCCAAGGATTAACCATAATTGAAGCATCAAGCGAACCTGCCATTCCAGTGAATTCACTTAATATCAAAGATCCATGATTTTCTTGTTGGCACATTATATATTCCAATGAAGTAGTATTCATTCCATCACGAACTGATGTTATAAGGCCTATATCTGCTACACTTAAAAGTGCATAATATTCATCCTGAGCAATATTGTTGTGATAGTGATGTACAGGTGTGAATTCTAATGAGCCATATTTGCCATTTATATTAGCAATAAGTTCTGAAACTTTGCGCTCTAATTTTGGTGAATCACTAAGTGCTGGTGTAGTGACTTGAATTAAAACTACCTTTATGTATGAGAATTAAAAACAAAAGGTTGTATTAAAACAAAGTCAATGATTTACAATATATAAACATATATGCATAAATTGTATTACAGACTTTATTATGCCATTCTGGATACAGTGATAAAAAATTTTCAAAAGCATCAAGTTTTTGAATAACACCTTTGGCTAGATCTAATTTATCTCTACCAACAATGATCTTCTTATCAGCATATATTTCTTGGATCAATGCCATTTTTTTCACAACATCAATGAGTTTTCTATTTAGAATTTAAACAAAAAAAAATATTAATGATTACATAATTACAGTTTTACTTTTTGTTATTAATATTCTTATAATAAATGTTAACTACCTCTCTTTTTCAACTTTCTCAATATCAATCCCAATTGGGAATGTCCCTATAGTTACTATTGAATCTCTTGCATCAATAGTGCCTGCTATATACTTATCTTCACTGGTTTCGCCACTTTGTGTAGATTCATATCCTAAAACACGAGTACAACTACTTATAAAATGTTTTGAATATGAATATGTCTATATAATAATAATATAAAGAATATTAATATATATAATCAATTATTATTAAATTTAGATAGATGATAAAATAATTGATAACCTGGAATCCTATTTGATTGGCGCCTAACATTCCATTCAATATTTCATTCCTTTCTAAATTTTAAATCAATCAATGTATACAATTAATTCTTATGACCAAATATCATCTACATCATATAATAATATATATATTATACAAACTTGGTAAACATCGAAAAACTTCAGAACTAGGAAATGGTGCATGAATAAAAAGTCCAATTATTATTTCAGGAAGCTTTTCACGTAACATTTGAGGAACCAGCAAAAGGTGATAATCATGAACCCATACTATAAATATATAATGTATAATATATATTTATCAATGTTGTGTGTATCATTAAATTTTTTGAAAATTTACATGCATTATTACATACCTAAGTCACCAGGTCTATATATTTCCATAATTTTTTCAGTAAATCGTTGATTGACCTTTACATAATTCGTCCAATTGAATGCTTCTATTCTACCATCAGTGGCAGAGTCCCATAAAATATAATGAAACAATGGCCATAATACTGTGACATGTAAATGTTGTGTAGTTCACATGATCAATAATAATTTTTTTATAATAATAATGATTGATTGATTAAAAATTGAAAAACATACCAGTTTTACAATAACCTTCATAATGTCCATGATGTTCTGCATCATCAAGAAAAACAGGTACAATTTTTTTTTCAGCCAAAGTGTCCACCAAACTTGCTTTTAATTTATCTGTTTGACTACTTGGTTCAATATTTTTTTCGGGATTTTCATAAACACGACCAACAAAACCAACGTGATAATTCTCCCATTTCGAATCTAAAGAACTGATACCAGAATAAAGAGCAGAATGATCCTCTCGTGGCTTTAAATCCCATTGATATTTATCATCAGATACATCGGATAATAATATGGGGTCATAAGGTATCATGTGAGTTGTATTAATGATACGACGAAAATGTTTCGTTGTATTATCGTTAATTTGTTCTCTGACCATGATTAATAAATTATTTTTAAAAAAGAAATTTTTTGTTGAATCATTCCCTTATTTTTTATTTATTTTCAAACGAATGTCGATTAATTATTATTATAGTAAGGAATTCGCTAATAATATTTATTTAATTATTTATTAGTTTATTTGAAGTCTCTCGTCATTTTTGCATATGATTTCTAAATCTGTTTTAGTTACACACCGAAACTTATACGCCCGCCCCACACTGAATTTTTATACTGGTTGGAATCGGTAACCACGCTTGCGTTATCCTTTTTTTTTTGTTTAGAGTTTTTAGAAGCGATAATCATTCACCGTTTTTTTTTTTTTTTTGAATTCTCTTTTGGAAAAAAAACCTCTTTTTAGGAATCTGAGGTTTTACAAATTTCAACCATTGTAAAGCAATAGTATCACTAAAGCTCTGAATGAATCAATGAAATTCGAACCGACTAGATTCAATTCGATTTGAACTGATTTAAGTATATAATTTGATTCAATTCAAACTAGTGATGGTGGCCGAAACTACGCCGAAATTGCCGAAATTAATTGGCCTAAACTTTGACAAAACTAATTTTAATGGCTGAAATTGGGAGTTTTTTAAAATAAAGTAGATTGATTTAGATACTTATTATATGTATTGGACGAAACTAACTTTTTTCCAAAAATAGTTTTGGCTACCATCACTAAATAATATCCTTTATAAATCAAAAAATTTAAAATATATACAATCTTGGTTTGGCAGATAGTTAGAAAGATTTTTCCAAAAATTCGTTATTATTATATTCAAACCTTGTCACAGCGGACTATAATAATAATTAAATTACTATCATAATGGATTTTTTCTTCACATATAAATACATATCAATATAAAAATTTTCTTATTATTATTATTATTATGTGTCCTGTCTATCTGTTGTGACTATATCAAAAAATCTGTTATATTGGAAGAATTTTATCATCATTATTATTATCCATTAAATTGAGGTACACTACATTGAGATTCGCTGTATTTAATATGACATTAAGGAAATTTTAGGAATCCAGTTTGATTCGAATTGAATGAAAAAAGTAATCTGATGGAAATGAAGCTTAGGTCTTTAGCTTTAATTATATCAGTTTACTTTTTCTTTTTCAATGAGGGGTTATAAGCTTTTAAAGTCATGTGATAATCATGACTGTTATAGACACCTGAAAATTCAAAAAAAAAGTTCCATTATTCTATTAAAAGTAACTGGGTTTCATCATCTTTCTTCTTATAATACACTTGATGATTTTGTGGATGAAATGCCTGGAGCAGAGCAAAAAAAATAGAATCAATGCCAGCCAAAGCATTATATATACATGTTATCCATTATAATCCTAACCCTAGTCAAAATCTCTTTTTATCTCAATTTTTATTTTTGCTGTTAGGGCTGTTTTTATTTCCTGTGCCCCATATGCAATGTACTTATTAAGAAATCTTTGTTATTTATAAATTATTATCATATGTATGTGGTGTACTTATTAAGAAAACCTTTATTACTTTTCTATTTTTGTTTTTCTATGTGATATTTATCTGCCTGTGATATATTGTAATATGCAAAATGTTCAAAAATAAGGTTTATATAATTGTATTACAACGTATGTACGCATCCAAAAAAAAAACCACTTGAAAATATATAAATAGATGTCAAAAAGAATTAGATTAATAATTTTATTTTATTTTAAAACGTGAAGTTCTTTTCGTTTATACATGATTGATTAAGAAATATGTAAGTATGATTTGTATTATAATAGAGTTAGAATTAATTTTGTTTAAAGAAACATGAATTATTATTTTTGAAATCGTAGAAAAAAAAGAAACATTAAATTTCTAAAAAAGGAAAAAAGATAACGTGAAAAAATGAGTGAGTGAGTGAGTGAATGAGTGAGTGGGTGAATGAATGAATTTACATCAGATATAATAATAGAGAATTATTATTAAATAATAAATAAATAAAACAAACAAAAATTAATTAATTTATATTATTATTATTAAAAATTAAAAAAAAATCTATTGCTATAATTAAAAAAGTTTCAAAATTGTGTGAAATTAAAATTTACAGAAATTAAAAGTTTTCTAATTATAATAATAACAATAATATGCTAATATGCTAATAACATATTAATAAATTATATAATGTACTAACTAATAAGCCATATAATGTAATAATAATATAATAATAGAAAAAATAATAATAGAAGATTTTTTATTTAACCATTATCAAAATGAACCACGAAACCCATCAATGAAAAAGATCTCAATGTAAGTCCAAAAGGTATTTTTAGAATATGGGAAATAAATAAATCAAATGTATTTAAAAAATGTTTGTATATAATTGAAGGAGATGTAAATAAAGACGAAGATGATAACGATGAAGAGGAAGGTAATGATAATAAGGAAGAAGGTGAAGACGTGAAGGAAGAGTTAATTCGTATCTTAAAAGAAGAAGACGATGATTTTTGGTGTTTTAAGATGTAAAATAATTTATTTTTAAGCAAATTTCTTCTATTTAAATGATTTTTTCTTCTAATATCATTATGTGAAAATGAATAATTAAATCTATTAATATTATAACAAGCATAATTGTTAACTTTTCTAGAACATCGTTCATTTATCAAAAGATTATATTTAAAATAAAAAAGTGTAAAAAATAAAAATAAAGGATCATGGAGTCAACAGATAATGCATTTAGCTGATTTAGGTCGCCTCTTATAACTTTCAATATATTTAAGTTGTCTGTTGTTAATGACTCCTCGTCGTCTTTCACGAATAAACGCAACACTGTCAAGTGGTGACATCCCTGCCTCGATCAATGCAATGGCGACTAGTACTGGAGCTCTGGTAATATTTAATATAATATTAGAAATTCAAAAAAAAAGTCAATAAATATTGAAAAAAAATTTTTTCACCAAATATAATATAATGACTATAACAATAATGATTCTTTCTCAATATAAGGCTCATCAGTAACACAATAACTTGTTAAATTAAGACAATTAATTTGTAGGAAAATATTTTAAAGTATTAAAGTTCAAATACTATGAACGGAATATTTTCTACAATTCCTACAAACGACACCGAGTTAGTTATTACTATTTTTTAACAAGTAAAATCAAGAAAGGATACAATGATACTGATCAAACTCGCGCCTTTGAAGAAGAGTCATGATTATTTTGATTTACACACTATTTTCTTACCTTCCAAGTCCTGCGACACAATGACATGCTATAGTTGGTTTTTTATCAATGTCAGTAGTTTCTTTGAAACGGGTTTCGACAAGTTCAAGCCAGTCATTGACTATTTGAGCTGGTGGTGCTTCGCCATCACCAAATACCCAATCCTGAAAAAAAAAATTTTGACATTGGTAAATCATCTCAAAAAAAAAAAATAGATATACCTTTTTTTTCTCGGAAAAAAATACAATAAACTTACATGAACTTTTATTCCACAGGATAGAAGAGGCTCAATATGATAGGTAGGATCACATACTCGAACCACATCCGTTACATTGTACTTTTTAAATTCCTATAATAATAATATTATTAATGACAATAAAATAATAATTGTGTTAAAATAATAATGTAATAAATAATAACGATAACAAATAAACATTTTTTTAATTTCAATAAAAATTTATTCCAATGAAAAAAATTTAATTAAATAAAGGTACGTAATTACCTGTATGTATAGTGATAGATTATTGTTTGAAGGAGCATCTGCGATCAAGAATCGAAGATTTTCATGTTCGATTAAAGTTGGAGGATTAATAGGTGAACGAAGTTGAACAGCAACAAATGAGCCGGAGCCTCGAGTGGAGTTACGCATCTTTATATTATAAATTTAATAATTAACTGTTGGAAATGAGCAGCTTTTTTTTTTTATTAGGATAATAATAACTTTTTGGACCATATTGAAAAAAATAATTGGAAATGTAATTATGATCTGCAGATATAATATAAAAATGATCTACAACACATAAAAAAAAATTTTTCTCTGTGGCGCTTGTATATTACATTACTATACAAATAAAGAAACTTAATTGTAGATCAATTGTGCGTATCACATGTGATGTTGAGTGCTTATGTGATTGTCACATATTTATAAGTTTTTTTTATAGATAGATAATCGATTAACAAAAAACATTGTAATTTTTGTCATTATCTATAATAATAAAAAGATTTTTGATTGATTTTTTATTTTTTCTTAATCAATTAATTTGATAAACTGATTATCTTAATTTACACAAGAATTTTTTTTTTATAAAATAATGTTTGTCTATTACTATGTATGTATGTGTAGATGAATATTATTTGTTATCATTATGGTATATTTATCCTAGAATACTTAATATTTAGCTAGCTAATAAATGGTTACTGTGATCTATCTAGTGGTAAGAAATCAATTTGTACTTGAGTTAGGTTTAGAACAACAATAAATAACAGAGTTGCATTTGTAAACCATCTTTATTAATATTTTAAAAGGAGGAAAATTTAGTATACTAGATAATTAATAAAATTGACACTTTTTTTAGTTTGCTCATATGATTAATATATCTGGTTTGACAACTGTGAAAGATTAACAATTTCAGTGTCTATTACTGGTACCGAATAGCTCGTTACATTAATGGAGGTTGATGATTGTTGCATTAGAAATAGGTTGAAGACCATAATCAAAGGAATTGGGATTTTGTAAAGAAAATGCAACCAAAATCACAATCAGCAATTGGTTTATTTGGATATACAATACAAAGAAGTTGAATGTGTGATTCATTGAATTTTTAAGAGTAAATTGTTGAGAAACATTTGTTTGAAAAGTGTTAACATCAGGTGACAGTGTTTGTTGCTGTTGGTGTTGAATTAGATGTAGTATATAGTCGTTATTATCTGTGCAGCCAACTCTTGGCTGACTTCAACATTATTTACTGCAAAATCAAAATATCTATAAATTTATATTTATTCAGTCAAAGTTCGTTATAATTGACACTCAAACACTCGATTCCAGACATTTTTGTCCACTATAAAGAAAAATCTGTTTATAGTGAGTGGACTTATTATAAATAAATTGAAAAGGTCCTTTATAACAAGATGAATTTTTTTTTATTAATATATAAATTCATGCGCAACATATACTAAAATAACATTAATAACGAGTTACGAACACGTTTATGAATTTTAACCTATTAATTGTTTTTAGTTCTTGATGGATGTTTTTAAATGCTAAATCATTTTTTCCGACTATCTAATGCCTCTTACTTCGTCAGTTAGTTCTTGTACTGATGCTTCATCATCAATCTAAATAGTAATGATAGGATCTTGCGGATTTAATCCATCAAAGTTCGTAAATCAATTTCTACAAAATCTTTTTGAAAATGAAAAGTTCTTTTGACAAGCACTAAACAAAAGGGATAGTGTATAAATTAATTTATTTTAAAGAAATCAACCAAGAAAGATTACTATGCCGTCACCAAAAAAAGGATAATGCGCAAATTAATTTATTTTTCAAATAAATAATTGGTAGAATTAAAAATTACTTTTTTTAGTGTGTTTTAAACAAAGCCACACACATATTCTGTAAACACTACTGAATTGGAATTTTTTTAGAAATCACATTCATTAACCATTAGTGCAAAAGATCGTCCACGCAACCACATGATTTCCACGATAACGAACATGATTTATACATATTAATATAAAAATCACAATGGAGAGATTTTAAGAAGCCACTATTATAACGAACAAATTTTATTATAAAGGGAGATAAAAAAAAATCCACTATAGGCAAATCCATTATTAAAATAAATTCTGGTAAATATAATGTAAAAAATACTGTCATACATAAATAATAACAACAACAACAACAATAATAATATAAAAGCGACTTATCTGGAAAATATCCTGAAAGAAACTTTATTTACTATCACCTTTCACAGTATTTGTTTCTTAATAATTGTTTTGATTTCTTAAAATAAATCTACAAAAAACAAAAGTTTTTCCTACGACTTGTCACTCTTTCATTTCTCATTCTTACCTATTCATTCATAATGCACTATTGTTCCTAATGAATTTACAAGTAAATCTTAAGATTTCAAGTTATAATTTTTAAAAATAACAATTGTAATTATATTTTAAAGGCAAAACTTTAAAACAAACTGCTCCAGCGAGAATGTATGAAACCATTTTTGACGCAAGCGTGAATAAAAAAACTTACAAAGTTAAATTAACCAATTATTTATTATTTGAATTGGTGCATCTTTATAATTTGTTTTGTTTCGATATTGTTACATAGGCGAATTCATCGAATATTTTTAAGTTTTCAGAGATTAGCTTCATGCCAATTTTGGGCTTTGGTGATACTACTTGATACAGTATGTAACGAAAATAATGGCGGTGACAAAAAGTTGCTTATTTTGTAAATAAAAAAAAATTGATATTGCATTCTTTTTTAAACCTCCTAAAATTTTTGATTTAAAATTTTTGACACAGGATTTTTTAATAACCATTCTAACGTATCAATGTACATGATAAGATAATTATACAAAAAATTATATCAGCTTGTAACTAAAGTTTCGAAGATTAAGCATATAATATTACATGCTTCCATATTTTCTAGAACGTTATCGATTATAAATAAAAGAAACCCGGTTATTTTGAGAAAAAAATATATAAAGCCATTGATCAGACAGCCATTGTCCTGTTATGCTCAAGAGTACTCACTTCTTTAGGTCTTTCGAGATTATAATGTATTTTCCCTCGCTGAATGAGCATTGTCAGACCAATAATGTAAATAATATGAAACATCTTGAAGTTAGGCTTTCAATCTTCGTATAACACACATTTAAAAGATGCTAGGGATAGAAAGCAGAATTTGGCGAAGCCTTTTCTTTTATAAATGCCTTCAATGGGACATAAACAAGCTGGAAAGATGTACCAATCATGATAAACAACGCATTTTATTGTTTGTTATGCAAAATTATTTTGTATCATGAGCCACCATTATTTTCGTTACACGCTGTATGTTAACAAACGAATGTAATGCGTTATTGTATTTACTTGTTGTTGTAGGGACTCTTATTAACAAAACTGTATTGCAAGGATTTTTACTATGACGACTAAAAAATAGAAAAGTTGATTTACTGATTGTCATTGCGCTATTTTCCGCTTTTGGCGTAAATAAATAAATAAACATAATTATATTTGTCATTTTGTAATTTAGGATTGGTGGGCAGTGCATCAAAAAAAAAATATTTTATTTAAAATAAACCAGGAAAATATTCAATGTTACACTTTATTAGAGGTTGCACCCGGATATTTGAAAATTTAATGCCAAATACAAAAGAAACTGTAATGAAGAAAAGTTAGAAAGTAATTCCTCCTATCTTTGCCCAAAAATTTTTTGGGATGACTAAAATATGCTAGAAGAGCTCATGAGAAGTATTTTAAGCATACTAAACAATATGTAACTTACATATTCATTAATAATGAAAAGATGGCATAGAAAAAATTATTGATGGTATCATTCAATCGATCGAAAGAAGAATCTCACAAGCTTAAAATCTAATAGAAAAGGTAAGGATCCGAATGAACCAACGAAATTCGAATCGATTTGAATCAATATATACTATCGAGTATATAAATAACTTAACTCATGAATCGTGGTTTGGCTTGGATCGATATATATCGTCTAATACATTAATATTAATTCAACGATAATTGTTTCGACGAATTATAATTAAATTCGCGTTAGAATGGAAATTTAAAATTTTTGCTTCGCAAATAAAATTCGTTGGAACGCGAATTTCCTTATGCGTCCCATCCTATAAAAAAATTATGCACTATATAGTACTGAATAAATGCGGACGGAATATATAAACTTTCCCGTGCCTAACATACAGAAATGGTACTACTAGGGAGTGTATTTTCCTATATTTTCCATATTAACAGTCATAAGATGATTTTCTAATGAATATTTTTTCATAATGGAAGGAGCACTCTATATAAAGTTACAGCTATTCAAAATGCACCACATTTTCACTTTGAAGCTGTGATTATCTATCAATATCACTTTAAAAGACTTGATAAGTATAAAATAATTTAAGCTTATAAAAAGTTCCTAATAATAGAATTTGTAAATTATTATTTCATAAATGCAGGAGAAATTTGTGACAGAGATTATCAGTCATATTGTTCCTAAATAGAATTTTAGGAATTTGATAACAAACTTTAACCCAATATTTGGCACGCCATGTTGAACAAAAGTGTACTATATTTTGTTGTAATAATTGCGACAATTGTATATATATATATATTTACAACAAAATGGTGTCCAGCATGGCGTGCCATATGTTTCTCCTTTTTTTCACTTCCAAAAAAAAAAAGATTTTTCTCCCATGTGCACAGTAATAGCAGAGTGGAAGTTTTTTGGTATACGAAATGTTATACAGCCCCTGAAACTTCACCAGTATATAGTAGTTACCTCTCTAAATTGGAGATCAAGTTCATATCCAATTCAAATCTAGTTTATCACTTACTTTTATTGCCAGAATGTTTTCCGTGTATTGTAAAGTTACATTGCACAATATAAAAAATTATGTAACATTCAAATTTCCACTATGCTAACAGTAATACGTCCCACTTTTTATATAGAGGGTCAAATTTCATTTGTAGATCCACAGATCACACGTGACAAAATAGTTTTGATAGTAATAACAAACTGGTGATCATGTGACATATGATTAAATTTTTATTGGGTAAATTTGAATTTTTTGAATTTTAAAAAATTTTTTTATAGTAATAATAACAATATTATTATTATAAACCATTTTATGGGAGGAAATAGCATCTTTGTTCAATTTCATAATCTAAAAGGGTTAAATTTCTTCTGAACTTAAAACAAAATTTAGATCTTCTTAATCCCATCCACCAGAAGAAATGAAATGAAAGTTTTATTCAATCAATTGTCCAGGCCAGATGAAGAAAGAAGTCACAAAAATTTTGGGTGAAAATTTTTAATTTTCATCTATTGTTTATTACTACTGTCAACATTATTTTCCACATCACCATCATCATAATCATCACCATCATCATAATCATCACCACCACCATCACCATCACCATCATCATCATCATTGTCATTGTCATCATCATCATCATTGTCATTGTCATTGTCATCATTGTCATCAACATCTACCTCATCAACCACTTCATCATCCTTATTCACTATTGTAGTAGTAATAGGTTTAGTATAATTATAATTCCATCCATCTAAAGGTGGTGTTTCTGTAGGAATTTTCATTTTTCCAGGAAACAATATTTTTGAATTATTAAGCTGAGCTTCTTTAAATAATCGTTCATCTACCTTTTCTAATCCAATATTCGCCTCATTTAACATTCTATATTTTCTTGCTAATTCAAGCTCTTTTTGTTCTTTTTGATGTCTACAAAATAATTTTCATGCTCGTTCTATCATTTCATGTCTTTCCAAATCTTCTTGTGTTAATGATGACAAGTCTGGTTTCTCAGTTTCGTAAAGTATTTGTTTAATTACTTCATGCCTTTTATCTGTAGACACCTTAAAAAGAAAACCAGATCTAACAAAAAAACTTTCTATCACTGGGATCACAATACACTCCTTTGTCAAGAAACTTATCTCAATATGTTAGGGATTGGTAGAACTTATTTTGAACATATCAGAAATCACCTGATAAATAATGGTCTTCTACCAAGAATTCATGGCAATATTAAAAGAATGCCTCAATGCAGAACTAAAATGGTGATTGATAAAAATGTTGCAGAAGTAGTAAAAAATTTTCTGGAAAATTATGCTGAAGTTCATGGATTACCAAGTCCAGGAAGGAGTGTCAATAGAATAACTCAGTCAGTTATCTTTTTACCAGCTGAAATGAGTTATAAATAGTGTATAGAGATTTTCTAGCTGGTCTGGAAGAAGATGGCAAATTAAAATCCTAAAATATGATGCATTTAGAAAACTATGACATCAATTAACACCAGAGATTCAAATTATGAGTCCAAAGACCGACTAATGTGATACTTGTCAACATTTTCGAAATGGTTTACATTACAATGCTCGCCAGGAGGAAGAAGCTAAAGATTTATTCAAAAGATTTAAAGAACATCTATCCAAGGCAAGATTAGAAAGAAATTATTACCAAAAAACTATAGACGGAATTAGGAATTGCTGAAGATACTACTGAAAACACTAACAAAAGGAACTTAATTCAGGAAGTCCAACGAATAACGAAAATCTATGCGCAAAAAGATGATAAAAAAATAAAGGTCTGCTTTGCCACCGAGCAAGCCCCGCCAGAGCAATTAAAAGATAAGCCGGGAGCAACCGAAATTAAAGAGGATGAATACAATATTTACTTACAATTAGAGAGAAAAGACAAACAAGGGAATTTTTGCCCTAATTTAGTCTTCTGAACTCTAACTAATGAACTTTCGACAATAGGCGGTGGTGAAACAGCCAAAAAACCTGACTTTTGGCAGCATTTTGAACAACAACAATTATGAGATAATAAAAACACTAAATTGGCAGAAGAACAAAGAAAATTAGTTGATCAACATTATTCAAAGGTGAAACATCGTATTGCAGTATTGATGCCACTGCTCATTACAGTTATGATCTTAGCCCCACCTTTAATATTATTAAAATAAAAATACACACATGTTTGTAGGTGAGGCTTATTTAATTATTATTCTTCATCAGTTCCTTCAGAAAGACTTTTTTATGATGCGGGACAACAAATTACTTTGTTATTAACAAGGGACTCTCTTTTTTTATTTTTCTATTGGTCAAAATTTTACGCGTTGATTTTATGGTATGATCATAACCTTCAAAAATCCATTGGTTTGACGGCGGAACAAATAAATTTCTTTAGTGTAGCTTGTTAAGTCGGATGCAAGCAATCAATTGTTTAAATAAATAAATGGCCGACCTGCCGAGTTTACATGTGTGTGTAGAGGGTTTGAAAAAAAGGGCCAAAAAACCAAATCGGCTGATGTGCCTAATGACCATTGGTCATTAAAAAAATGTGTGATATCATCCATCAGCTTTTAATTAAATTTTTACAATGTTCATTATTAAAACAATTAATAATAATAATATAACAAAAATATTTATTTTAATATATATATAATTTAATATCTATTTATTTCTCCTCCTCCTCCTCCTCCTCCTCGTTATCATCATCAACAACATTATCATCATCATCAATAACATTATCATCTACATTATCATCATCATCAACAACATTATCATCAACACTATCATCATCATTATCAACAACATTAGCATTATCATCATCATCATTATCATCATCGTGATCGTCTTGGTTTTGCTGACGTTGTTGCTGTTGTTGCTGTTGTTGCATCTATTTAAAAAAAATTTTTTATATCCATACTTTTATTTGATGGTGATGATGATAATAATAATAATAATAATGGACCTACCTTTTGCCACCAAGCATGAGCTGTAGCTGATAATTTAAAGTTTGGTTTTTGAGTTTGATCATCAGGAAATATATAATCAAAATATTCTTCCCATGAAACACCACCAGTGTGACCCTCAGCGTCATCCAATTTGCGTCTTTTCTTAACAACTTTAGGCATTTTTCCTTCAACAACCGATAAACTATCTTCAGTACCATGATTACTTTCAAAATCTTTCCAAGATTCTAATAAAAGAACTCGCTATAAAAAGTTAACAAAAAGTATTATATTAATATAGATATATTAATTTAATGTTTATAAAAAAAATTGCAAATAAATACAACACCTCTTCTTTTAAATCTCTTTCTTTTATACTATTATAAGCTCTTTCAAACACTTTACGAGCTTTTTCTACAGAAACCTCTTTATTTCCTCCTTCTTCAGCATACAATTCAAATTGTGCAAAACTAATCCACACTTTAACGTGACCTGTCTTCTCTAACAAACGTTCATACAATTGTCTTGTCTTATCAAATTCTTGTTCTGAAAATTCAAAATCAATATATGCCTTCCATAAAAGTTCTGGCATATCTATTATTGGTTGATCGACTGCCAATTCAAAAATACCACGACATCGATCATAATCACCCAACATTTTTTCTAATTCTGCAAATTTAATCCATGCATAACAGTTTGCTGGGTTATATTCCAAATATTTATAATATAGAGTACGACAACGATCAAATTCTCGTAACTTTTTTTAAAAGAATATATTAATCTTTTTATAATGAATTTTAAAAGCCTCATGCAGTATATATTTATTTACCTGTAATTCCAATTCAATATATCCTTTAAAAAGCCTATCTTTTGGGCACATCCCTAATACCAAAAAAATATATATATATAAGATAATAAGTTAATTTTTCTTCTAAACAATATATAATAAAAATTAATTCAACTCACCAATTGCAGTACCCAAAGTTTTTCTTGCAGCCTTTAATTCTAAACGTCGTATTTCAAATTGCGCATAAAGCAACCATATTTTTGCAAATGTAAATCGTTTATGAGGTATTAATTTTAGACATGCCTGATAAATTTGTCGTGTTCTATCATAATCCTTTAATAAAAAAATTTTTTAGTATTAATAAATTCTTACAACTTTAAATATAATATAACAACAATACTTTACTTTAGTTACAAGTTCTTCATATAATGCATAATTTATCCATAAATATATATAACGACGCCAAAACCTTTTTTCATCAGTTGGTGGTACTTCAACTATTGCACGTTCATAAATTTCACGTACTCTTTCCTCATTGCCAGAATTTTCTTCTAATTTTGCATAATCAAACCATACATCATAATTTTTAGGATTTTTTGCTAATTCCTAAAAATTTATTTTTAATTTACAAAAATGATAAAACTCATTTAAAGACTAATTTAAAATATTTAAAAAATGCCACATACATCATCGTATTGGACTCTTCTTTTTCCTACTACAACATCTTCAATGCTTTCTTTATCGCCATATTGTTTTTCAAATTGTGTGTATGCATTATAAAGTGATTCAGATTTAGACCTTGGTAATTTTTCCAAAGAATATTTATAAATAATTCTTGCTCTTTCATACTATTGAATCAATAGTTATAATTATAATAATCACCAAATAGATAAATAATTTATTACTAGGTTAAAAGATAAATTTTTAAAATGTACCTAATAAAGATATAATTTCTTGTTTGAATTGTGGTAAAAGACACGCACCTCTTTCAACCTTGTTTCAAATTTTGCAAATGCAATAAAAATCTTTTGATCCATTTGATCTTCTCCCAAAATTTCAATAGCATGACTGAAAATTTCTCTACACCTTTCTAATAAAAAGAAATTATTGATATTTAATCACAAGAATTTAAAATTTGCACATATAAAATACATATACTTTGATAAAAAAATTTTTTTTCATAATTAATTACCTAAATTATTTTGACCTTCCTCAAATTTAACCCATTTTAACCAATTTTTAGGTTCAGGATGTACACTCACAAATCTTTCATATATTGCTCTAGCTCTATCAATTTCGCCATACCTTTTTTCCATTTTTATATAAGAATTCCATGCTGATTCATCTGGTTCCCATTGCATCCAACGTTCAAAAATCTGTCTTGCGCCTGCAACATTACCCAACATCTCTTCCATATAAGTGTATCTGTACCTTTTTATTAAAATTAAAATTATAATTTAAAATCATAATGATGATGATGATGATGATAATGATGATAATATTTTATAATATTTACCAGA